TAACATGGTGTATCTATGTACATTAACTACGTGTATACTTTGGTACCGGAATAACTATACAGTTTCAAAACATGTATTAGGTAATCATATTTCACGTCTAAATGCAAATTCTACGCTTCGTGTTCTGTAATAAATGACTCACATTTAAACCCCATTTGCTATTAGTGAACTGAAATTGCTTATTCATCTTTAAAGTGTTGTAAATGAAAAATAAGTCCGTCTTATAATTGATACAGTTCTTTAAAAGAAACCGAATATCTATAAGAAAGAAAATAATTTTGTGTAGTAATCTCTTTTAAAGAAAGCATTAGCAAATGACTATAACAACAGAACCCTTTTTACTCTAATGTTACTCTTTTATCTTTTCATATTGATTCTCTAACTCCATAATCCAAAAAGTGCTTACCCTACTAAAGTCTATATTCTGAATAGCTATCAGCTATTTTCGTTTGCTCTTTGAACTCTTATATAATTTGCCATTATGATTTGATTTAGTAGGTACTATCTTTGTGCATTTTTAGTTGTCGATTATTTTGAGCCACTTTTAATTATAATAACTTCGTAATATTTATTATATTTGCTCAATTTTGCATTTACAATGCTATACTGAAAATTATTCTTGAAAAATGCTTGCTTAATTGGTGAAATTGCCTGCACATTAATGAAAATACACTGTGTAGTAGCGAAAAAGTAACAAGTCCTTGAAAAATTCGTTAGTCCTAACGTCCTAGGTGGCTCAATGGTTAGAGCAGTCGCCCGGATTGCGAAAGGTCAAGGGTTCGAGTCCCATCACAGAGTGCCAGGGACAACGTGGATTTTTTAAGACTTTTCATTAAAAATATTTTTCATTTAATAACAGTTATATATGTAAGTTATAATTTATGTTATTAAATCGGGTATAACGGATCTAAACAAAATATAATCTTATGGTATCTTCGTATAATGATGATATAGGGTGCTTCAGTTTTTTAATCCCTATTTAGTACCTATATTATATTAAAAAGTGCAGTTTTTAATTTATGCTTTTTTGTTGCCATTGATTGTTTATTTTTCTTGCGACAATCATTGATTTTTTGTTTCAAATATACCCTCTTTGAAATCACGACCACATATTTAAAAATTTTCTTTGCCACTTAGAGGGTAAACACACAGAAAATATCAAGTCAGGGTTATGAATTATCGTAACCCGTAACTCTGCGAAACTATATTGATGTTACCGCGATAATCCGGGCACTGAGTTATTAGTTTCAAGTAATAGTCCATATTTAAACCCATATTTCATTTAAGACTCGCAACTTGAACAATTTCAGAACATGGGAACGGACGCCGCTGTTTATTATAGCAAACAATAACATTCCTTTAACCAAATATGAAGCTTGAAATTTGAATATAATGCTTTGCTAGACTAATGTCGATCAAATGGCGCAACCTTGTTGTGTCAAGGACCCTGGGACCTTACTCTGAGGTCTTGTATACTATGCAGAAGTCGGTATTAAGAGTTAGACACTCTATAAACTTAAATCGCACCATTCTTTTTAATCACAGCACTAACTTTATAGAATTCAAAGTATATATCCTGAAGAATCAAGAGCCAACGTTGTTATAAAACTTATTCACAAAGTTATTTCAATATTTAAATAGTTATAATTTTTTTTCTATACAGATTGTAAAATATCCTGCGTATCGACTGTATAAGACGTATGATGCTATGAAAGATTCAATAAGGATGTAAGTACTTTTTATCGACTAGATTAAGATTAGTCGCATAGTAATTCGCTTCAGTCATAGATAATACGAAGCCTGATTTTGTTAATATTTAAACCTAACATTTATTAAATTTTACAATAAATTATAGAATATTAGTTAAAATAAAATATGTATATATATCAAACATAAAATTGTTTTAATAGCTATTTCTTATGAAACAGTTACAATACTTTTAAAGCAATACTTCAAACTAAGTTACAAAGCCTTATCTTAGAAACGAAGTATAACATACTATGTGATTTAATAAAATTTAGAAAAACTCTGAGGCACTCTGAGATGGGACTCAAACCCTTCGCTATCCAGGCTGTTATGTTATGTTATGTTAATTAATCTATATTTCATACATTACCTACACATTTTACATTACCTAGGTATTTTAAACAATTCCATATTATACATATTACTGGTAACATGTATATGTTTTAGTCTAGCAGACTGAGCGGGAAAAATGATGGCAGTGTCCACTAGAGCGTGGAACGGGTTTACTTCCTGAACGCCTCTGCCACCCGGGAGCGTGAAGTGAAATCCGATTATCGGACATCGATTATTTTAAACACTCCGATGCGAGATTCGGATTTTCGTTTGATATTTGCGACTATACTGGAATCCTGCAGGCTAGTCCTCCGGCTGTAAATAAAATTGAAATGTACAAAGTCCCTACGAATAAAAGCGACATCGATATTATTAATTTTAAAATGAAATACCGACCAACTGTTTCTATTTTGCAATTATATATAGGTAGTCAACATGAATATACGTTATTATACATTATCACCGGGTATTATGGAGAAATATTTGCTTTTGCAAATTTTTATAATAATCAATTTAAATTTCTTTTTTTGAAAATAGTTTGTATTAACATATACTTTGAAAATAAGGAGATGGATTAGTTAACAAAATCTATTAGGTCCGTTAGACAGATAATAGAACAATATTAGATACGTATTTTTTGTTTGAATTTATCATGAAATGGCTAAGATAAAATAAGCGCTAAAGTTGTTAAGTTGGGGCTCGCGAGGTCACAACCATATAGACAATATACATAGGTGTGATGTCATGAGACTTTTTAATTCAATGTATCGTCTTATATATTGATTATGCAAAAAGGCGGGAGATAGGCTGTATCCATAACATCATCAAGGCACGCGAATGAAACCTAAAAGTATTATATTATAGCTACATACATAACTAGATAATAAATTCGGATCTTAATCACTTTGTCAAAGTTCGGTAGATTTTAATTATAACTGTACTTATAACTCGAAACTTAGCAGATATATTTACTTGAGCTTTTTACACAACTTTGAATTTTATATACGATTTCCCACGGTAACAGCGAAGCGTGACAGAGCTTAGCGATTATAAATACAAACAAAAAGAAGGCTTATTACTAGTTGTCTTATAAAATAGCAGATAAAAAATCTTTCCAGAGGCATTTTACAGATAATTTCTACCAGTAGGTATGGTAGTTTTTACAGGAAATTTTGTAATTAGTGCACGCACATGTTCTAATATTTTGTACATTACTATACGCAAATCAAGTTCACTTGTTTTTTCTGGTTGTTTTAATCCATTTACAGTGGAGATAAATAAGAAAAAAATATAAACACATTGTTATTTAGTATATCAATACTTTATCCGGTGGTTAATGACCAATTCTTGTCTATATAACTGCAATTTATTTTCTAGATATATCTATCTACACATGGCAAAAAGCTAATATTAACATAAATATTTAATTATTAACATAAAATTACTAAAAAAGAAATCTTTATATATATTTCAATTGTTTATTGTATCACACATTCTTCCTACAACTAGAAGTCCTGGAAGAAATTTGATTTATAATAATTTTGCATTTCAGATTGACTTTGAAAGTGTAACAAGTTCGTAATTAAACTCAGTCAATGTCACCTACAAAGCAATTTAAATATAAAATTGAATTTTGTGAAGGGTTATTTATTTGTGAAGGGTCTTTATATATAAACTTTTTCCTTTTTTTTTTTGAAAATTATTTACAGTGAAACCGACCTAAACTAATTCGTTATAACATTGACTTAGTGATTAGATTGACTCTGTGACTGCCGTTCCTTACTTATAAACTTTCAATAGACATTTGTACAACATCGACTCATTAATTTCTTTAATTCCGGATTTTTTAACAGAATATATTATGTGACAAACGAATGGACAAAGATACATAGCGTAATATGACGGTATTGTGTACACCGATATGAACAAATATGGCACATATCCGTTCTTCCCATTATTGTAAGTTCAAATATCATACGCTGACACAATGTTCTTACTTGGAGTCGGTTGTCAATGCTAATCATATCAAAAGCTTTACGTAAGTGTTTTAAGAAATTCACAAGGTTGAAATAAGGCAAATATTTTTAACATGAATGAGTGTTAAGTGATAAGTTCGGCTCCTGATAAATTTGCGTAATAAAATTACAGGAAAAGCATTTGGCTTGGTATAGAAATATCTCAATTTTCTGCTACTGATGCTACTTTATTTCTTCTTACATACCTACTCGTTCCTTACTCTTTCCAGTCTCGTCACTCCAGTCATCCATCTCCAACATTCTTATCTCTCTCAAATATGCAAATATTAGTTTCTTTCATTCATCTTCTTCACTACCCAACATTGAAATCATTACGTTACGGCACTTCTCGGTCTTAACATGAATTTGTAAATTTAGTACTTTAAATCCATAGACATTCGTGGATCACAAAATCCTGTGTCGACAGAGAGCTTAGCAATATAAATTATTGAACTGTGGATTGCTTATTCATAAATCACTGGCACTTAACTAATCGCAATCTAAATTTCATTTGCTCAATTAATTGATATATAATGGCAAACCTACTTTATAATGGTAAAAAATATTTAGACATTTATATAACACATGAGAATGTGTATTCAAAATTTTAAACCAAAATCACGTTTTACTTAAGGACGTCTTGGAAATTACACTCTAATTCTGAAATCAAATTTGCTCACGTAGGTACAAGAAAACCCATATGACAATGATTTTAGACGTTTAGCATACGGTAATCCTGCTAAAAATTTTGCGAGCATAGCATACACTGTCCCTATTGTTAGTAGTTAAACGTAACTGCTGCTAAATTATGCAGCAATGGTTGATGATGTAATCGATGTAGCAGCTTACTCAGTTTACGCTTCTGTCGATGCCTGTGACCACGATGCCGGCAAGTTAAATTATTTTAGTTCTGTGTCGCGTTTCTCCTGCGACGAACGCCTTGTCGCTCGGCCTCACAATTTCATTATAATAAAATTGAAATTTGATTTGTTAACATACGCATAATATAAATAATGTGTCTCAGAAGTTCATATTGATCGTGCGCTTAAAAATATAAGTGTAGTGTTTTCAATATACCTGGATAAACTTTATAAATACAAGGTGCATTATTCAGCTTGAACTTTGAAGGTAGAATTTTTAAATATTACTTGTAACAGATTGATGCTTTATAAATAAAAATAAAATAGCAATATTTTTGACGTTTATTTATATAAAACAAATTTCACTTCTATTATGTTTTATTTAGTTTTTGTTGATTATATAATACTTATGTATGTTATCATTATCATTATCGAAATATTACCTGTATAGTTTAATTGTAGTCCTTTTTATTTAACAAATATCGCAATATTAATATTAGTTGTATAAAAAAATATTACATAGATTTTACTCAATCGTTTAAATTATATCAACAATTGTTATTCAAAGTTTTAGTATGTGACAATATCTTTAAGAAATTCTGTAGTTTCTTCTCGGTTCCAATTTCACGGTGAATGAAAATCAACAATTTTGTTCTCCGAGTCGGAAAATCTCTGAAGCAAAGAATTTATCTCACTTTTTGTTGATTAAGTATTAACTTGTTAAGTACAGGTGCATTTGTAACATATGTTTTATTGTCCATAATAAGTGTTATTATTTGGTTTCCATGATAACAACAAAATAACTTTGCTATATATGGACATATTTTGGCAATACATACTTTTATAAAATTTTCTAGTTCCTACTCCTCCATACCTAGTTAACGATGGGTAAGCCGAATGAAACTGATCTCTTTTGTGCAAGTAAGAAACGAACTTATTTTATTTGATTAAGCGTTAACTTTGTTAACTTTCCGACAATGATGTTCTAATTTGATGATTCATTTGTTTTCAACTTAACTGAAACGCTAAATCGATCAAGTGACAGATTCGATTCACTTTGTTTGCCATTGACGTAATTATTTCAATCATTTGACACTTTCGTCTCCTCTGAATTATCCGGAGTTTCTCGTATTACAACTAATATTCCCTACCGTTTCTTGTCTTTTAACGGTAATAATATTATATAACACTAAGGCTTAAAGCTAACTCCAAACGTGTACTAACAATGCAAAAGAAATTTTCACATGAGAATTTCAAACAAACTCGTCAGCATTTTTAAATGTAAACAAGTACATATTAGGTACATGAAAATAATGGTTTCAAAACATTCCTTTGCAAGTTAAAGTAAAAAATGCAAAATGGAGAATGTGACACGTAATATTTCACGAGTTATCGCTAAGTTAGTAATGTTATTATCATGGCATGGAATTACTTTTTAAATTTGAAATTTTCCCGTCATTTAAATATGAGAGAATTATGGAGGAGAAATATAAGAATATATATGTGTATACTTGAGATAAAATAATATAAAAACAGTTAAAATATGCACATATAGACCACTTTTATTTTTATTGACTTTTATATTTATTGAAAACCTTTATTCTTATAAAATAATTGACATTCAGTAAATTATGCACTTTCTTCAGTACCTATATAGTTAGTTATATTTTATTTTAATTCGTTGTAAAATATTTATGTCGCAATAATTTTTAAGATAAACTTTTGAATAATATGCTAATACTCGCAAAGGAAAGTGAAGGGAAAATATTATGACAATTCACCCAAAATTAAATGTAACTACATAACAGTTTCACTTTGAACTTTAACAAATAAACGAAGGTCAAAACGCATCAGCGCATTCCACCGAATGATTCATAGCAACTATCATTATAAATCAACATAATTCATTACTGCAAGACAAATGGCTGACATTACTCCGGTTTGGGTCTAAATGGCTTTGTAGTACCTACTAATGTTATTTTTATATGCATTAGATTAAAGATGAAATAATGCTCTCTGTTCTTCAAGAACTAGGCATCACACAAGTTGATAGATGCAATTTATATCTGTAGTAACTTCGTATTTGATGAAGTAATTTTTCAATCTTGATGACTCTGAAATACAATAAGGAGAAAAAAGCAACCCTTGCCGAGTTGCTTGCCGGTTCTTCTCGGTACAAGGTCTCGTTGGCATAGAGTTTTGACTTTCATAAGTGCTCGTAACAGCCTAGACTGAATAAATGATTTTGATTTTTGATTTGATTTGATCTATCAACCTTAGACTGGAATTTTGAAGTTCTTTGGATATGTCTCGAAGCGCAACCATGACTCTATAGAGCTTTTAGTTTTTTAGGGAAGAGTTGATGGAACCAGACCAGGTGGCTGATCACCTATGGCTGACCAAATAAAATCATCAGCATCATCATCATCCTAAATGCACTAGAATGTCGGCCAATAGATCAAGATAGCGAAAAATTACGAGCTTACGGTTAGCCATTAAGATTGATGCTGCTCATAATGACCACGACCGTGTCAAGAGCGACACGGTCGAAGAAGAATGCTTTACGATTATTACATAATAGCAGAAAATGGAATATAGGGACAAAATTAAAAACTTGAATTTTGCACAAAATTTGAAACTTTGTTACTACATACTTCTTCAATCCAACAATCCAGCTGAGGGATATCTTTTATTTAACGCCTTTGCTCACTATTAAATATTCCTAAATATTCCTAGACAAAAAGGAAGGAGTGATACAAAAGGGTCTTAAAATTAAATTGCCTTATAAATTTATCCCGGAGAACTAATGTCCAGACTTAAAATAATTTCCAAAATTAGAAGAACTCTCTTCATTTAAGTGACACTCATTATTAGTTTTGTTTCTTGCTATTCTGTTGACTAACTACAGGCTACTAGTAAATAGATTAACTTTATTCTTATTGAGTAACTTCTAACTTACAAACGTAAATGTTTCATAGAATGTCATCATTACTTTTCACAAAGGCGTTTATTGTTTGTATAATTTGTGATAGCTATTATGGTTTTAGCACATTTTATGGAAAAAAAAATGTAATTGGCAAACAAGAATTCTAATTTGGATATTTTGAAATTACATTTTAATGGTCTTCTGTAAATGTAGCACAGCCAAAAGAAACCTTTGTGATTTTTTATTATTTTAATGCTTATTCTGTTAAAAATATCAGCGTTGAACTCGGTGCTGTCGCAGTATCTAATGCGGTGTAAATGAGACGTCTAATTAGACCGTTAATTAAATAAAACCTCCTTCAAAAGGTAATAAAGTGTAAAGACCTCGTTGGTGATGGAAACAATAATAAATAAAATAATACAGTAACAACATTCCATCCGTCAGTTATACGAAAGATAATAAATAAGCTGACTACATAATAATGTATTGTTACTGAAGCGATCGTTATAAAAAGATCAATGAACTAAGTATATTTCCTAATAGCGATTGCAGATGACTCGGCCATTCCCAACACAAAGAATGGATTCATTTTAAACAACCTCACTAAAACGATTCCGATTAAATTGATACTATTATTAGCTTCTAATATAAATTATATTTCTTTTTTTGCAAAATGACTTGACAACAAAATGACACAAATATTTTGATAAAATCATCATTATATTGTACTAATACGAGTTTTAGGAATAGAAACAGGTTTACTTTTATGTGTTCCGAGTACGATGAAATGGTTAAATGAATTTTAATCACATTAGGGCAAATTATATTATGGATTATCAAATAGGATATTTTACGTAATGTTTATTAATGAAGACGGAAGGCAGAAGCAATATGGATGACGATTGGATAAAAAAATAAATTATATTTAATCTATCAGTCAGATATTAGATACGTATTCTTTTTTACGTCAATTTAAAAAGAAGTAGTATGGACAGCCATTACAGTTGAAGAGTGCGGGCTCGCTACGTCACAGTTTTGTAGAAAATGTACAAAACCGTGATTTCATGTGACATTTTAAGTCAATGTATCGCCGTAACTTAATGATTACGAAAAAAATACGTGTTCAAAATTTTTTTACAATCTACCTGACTGACAAACATACAAAAATTAATCGTCATTCCTATTCGATTATAGAATTTAACCTTAGTATTTGTTTCTTTATTTAATCATGTTCTTATTCATTATTTTTTAACTCAAATATAGATGCGATATTGAATAACAAAAGAAGACGACACAATAACAGGGTTATTTTTGTGATTAATTTTATTTAAGATTTGATTATCATAAATGCCGAAGAATTGTAAATTAATTTTCTCATTTTGAATTACATTAGCTTATTTTGACACTATTTGTTTGTCCAATAACAGATTGAAAGTTAGTGATTTGGGGTGTAGGAGCCCTCTCAAGCCGGACAGGATAAGAATAATGGAGAATGAATAGTATGTTTGTACTTTATTATAACTTAAGCATATACCTACTAAATTTGAGAAATTCTAATATTTAACAAATAGCATACAAATTTTATATTGACAAAGAGAGGTCTTGATAATAATATTAAGACGCATTTTTCATTTAAACTATGTTAAAAATACATAAACATTTTCAATCATCATACTTAGCGGTCATCTCTATTATGGCAACTAAGTCATATTATTAATATCCGCTAATGATTTCAACCTTGCGTACTTGGAGCGTGACCGTCAGTGATCTCGCTAAGAGATTTACATATATGACTTAAAATTCTATTTTAGTCTTTAAGTGTTTATTTTTTTTTTGGTTACGTTCAAAGACATGATTTTTGTCAAAACATAAAAAATTATGACCAGTAGAAGCAGTTGTGCTCTTGAGCACGCCCGAGCGAATTATTTATTTGCAGGAAATAATAATGAGTAACAAACTAAAGGAAGAAAAGGGATTTCAGTATAGAATTTTGAATGCAAAATTGATCAAATATAATAAAATAAACGAGCAGTAGATAATATAAACTTTATATTCGAGTACAATATCAAAGCTTTTTTTTAATTTGATTACTGACATGTATAAGTTACCATGTAAAAACTTCAACAGCAGCATAAATAACTTAGAGTCATAATATTATTTAGTAACTTGTTATCTATTAATAATCGAATCTTTTTATGTCGATTGGTTTTTAAAATACCTATATGTTGTTTTTCAGTATGGAAATTCACGCTATTGGTAATTAAAACTATTATTTAGGAACTTGTACATGTCTGTTAAATTTATTCATGTGAAATTGTATGTGTGTACAAAATAAATAAAGT